CAGTCTGAACCCCTTTCCCCAACTGAATTCTGACTTTTGTGCTCTGAGAACTTTTCCCCCAGAACTGGGCCCTCCTTAACAGTCTATCTTCTGTCTAATCTATGTAAATTCTGTGGTGGCTATCTATGTAAAATACAGTCAAAATTTATTGTACATAGTTTCTATTGAATGTTAAAGAAAACAAAAAAAGAAGACAGTAAAATAGGAAGTAGGGGGTGGGGGATTTAGCTCACTGGTGCCGCCACCTGCCTTGCAAGCACAAGGTCCTGAGTTCAATCCCCAGTACCAAAAAGAAAAAAAAAAAAAGGTAGTAGGGAGAAGTTCTAATAATTTGCCAAATTATATATTCTGTGGTTTGAAAAATATTTCAATATATATTCTAATTTGTGTCATTTATACTGCTAGATCCTCTTAGTTCATTAAAAAGAAAGTTTTTTACAATTATCTATTTGCTTCTTTTTGTAAGAGTCTTTTTTGTCTAAGTACGTACTTTAACATTTTGGCCATTCTTTTAAGATTATAGGGACCAGGGATTTAGCTCAGCGGTTCCAGCGGCTGCCTTGCAAGCCCAAGGTCCTGAGTTCGACCCCAGTTACCAAAAAAAAAAAAAAAAAGATTATGGTACACAGTGTATTAACTAATGTTATTCTTTAATTTGTGATGATTTTTTTTGATGGTACTAGGGATCGAACTCAGGACTTTGCACTTGTGAGGCAGGCGCGGTGCCACTGAGCCAAATCCCCAGCCCCTGCTTTATTTTTTCATAGAAGAAGTGTTTTTTAAAAGTATTTTCTTTATTAATATCTATTTGTCTTACATTGAAATAAAAATAAAAGAACAAGGCGTCTCGGAGCTGTATGGCTGTCATGAATGATGAGTGGAAGACGTGCTGTGGAAGGGCAGCAGGTGCTGCTGGACCGGAAGTGTGAGGATAGACTGTCCATTGAGTTTGCTGCAGTACCGCACCCTGGCACCTGGCTGACACAAAACTATTTCTAGAGTGAAAGAGTCAACCAATGAATGGGTGAAAAAAAGCTAAAAGATTGGAAGCAGAGGGCACTCTGAGGTGCAGTTGGCTGCAATGGGGACATTTTTACTTGCAGAACTGGGGCGCCAGGAGTCAGCTCAGTGGTCCTGCGCCTGCCTGGCAAGTGCAAGGTCCTGAGTTCCATCCCCCATAACAAAAAAAACCAAAAAACAAAAAACTGGGACCACAAACAATAAATCTTAAATTGGTACAAACTGCAATATAGAAATGCAGTTTCCTGCAAAATGGATTTTGTATTTCTAAAGAACTACAAAAAAAAGAACCACAAAGAATCCATAGCTTTGCACCCCAAGTATAGTATAGGGAATTTTCCTGTTTCAAAGAATCTAAGTTTTTAGGACCCAGGATTTAGCTCAGTGGCACCATGCCTGCCTCACAAGGGTAAGGTCCCGAGTTTGATCTCCGGTACCCAAAAACAAAAAAAAGAATCTCAATCTTCAAACGTAGAACACTGATATTTTATTCATCAGGCTTTTAAATTAGTTTTTGTTCTTTGAGGTGAGTTCTCACAATGATGCTGGCCTTGAACTCCTGGGCTCAAGCAATCTTCCCGCCTCAGTTCCCACGGTGCCGGCTGTTTTAGTATTTGCTCTGTTTTGTTTTTAACTCTCCAGACTTGTCAGGCAGATGAGTAGATAGAGACCTCCTGCCATTACAGGTTGCTTCCCATTGGCCTAGTAAGGAGCCCTGTCTTTACTGAAAAACAAAGAACACTAGACAAATTAATCTTAAGAAGTGTCACAGGTTTTCAGTTTCCTGGCAAGGGAACCAGCAAGGTGTCAAAAGAGTAAGTGATGGCCGGGGATTTAGCTCAGTGGTTTTGCTGCCTGCTGCGCAAGCGCAAGGACCTGAGTTCGATCCCCGGCACCAAAAAAAAAAAAAAAAGAGTAAGTGATGATGCTGGGGGTGTGGAGGGAAACCAGTGGCCCAACAGTACCTAATTACTAAAGATACTAATGGGTCCTGACCCGGAAAGCCAGGTCAGGAAGTGGGAGACACCAGGGGTTCTGCCGTGGACTTGAGAAACAGAAAACTGCATGGGAAAGCTGGTGACGGATCCACCTGTGCTGTTAACCAGAATAACACTTTCATTTCCTGGTATGCGCAATTAATCATAAAGGCATAGAGCAAGACCACAGGCATCAGCAAAGCTAGTGAAGATTCTACATTTATTTAGTCACTTTTTTGAGACAGGGTCTCGCTATGTAGCTCAAGCTGGTCTTGAACTCACTATGTAGCTCAAGCTGGCCTCGAACTGGAAGCAATCCTCCTGGCTTGGGCTCCCACGTGCTGAGATCACAGGTGTGCACCACCACACCCCGCCTATTTACTCATTTTTGAGACTGGGCTTCAAACTCCTCTGCTCAAGCAACCAAGCTGTTACTGGACAGAGTCTGAGCCAGAGAACCTGAACCCACCCTACCCGCAGAATTAAGTTGTAAACTCACTGACACTTGTAGCACAAAAAGAATTATGAGGACCTGCCAGTAAGAAGCATAAAGGGATTCGGCCTAGAGATTTAGCTCAGTGGTGCCACCACCTGCCTCGCAAATGCAAGGTCCGAGTTTGATCACCAGTACCAAAAAAAAAAAAAAAAAAAAAAGAAGCATGAAGGGATTAGGCAGAAATTTAAAAGTACACATTCAAAGAAATAGTGTATCCTCCAGAGAGAGGAACATCATGATCTGGAGCTGGGTACAAAGGTGAGCACCACCATGTCCGGCTCCGAGCTCTTTTTTATTTTTATTTTGAGACAGGTTCTCGCTAAGTTGGTAAATCGCCCAGCCTGGGACTAAACTTTCTTTTTTTTTTTCATTTAGTTTATTGGTACATTTTAGGCATACAATACTGTTACATTCACCATTGGGATCTTGTACCTGTACATGACGCATCTTGGTTCCCATCTTTTCCCCACTCCCCTGCCCTCCCTTCAACTCCTCCACCCCTCCCTATTTACAAAGACTGTTTCCATTTTTTCCTTTTCTCATATTTTTTCCTTTCCCTTCTTTCCTTTCCCCTACCCCTCCCATTCCCCTACCCCTTTAGACCTTTTCTTCCTATTTCACATTATTAATTATTCATTTTGGGGGATCAAACTTTCGATCCCGCTGCCTCAGGCACCTCCAGCCCGGGATCACAGACGCGCGCCATCGCGTCCGCCGGGTTCCTCATTTATTACGTATTTGGTCTCCCCTAGATGTGACTGCTTTGTTTTGTGCAGTAGCCCCAGACCGAGCAGCCAGCACACACCTTGTAAGTGAAGGGGGTCGACGCCCCGCGCCCAGCCCAGGGAAGGCGGCGACAGGACCGCAAATGAATCACCGTGAGCTTCAGGAACGCTTCTACGAGATTTGAGCTCGCTCGGCCACCGTAGAGTTTAGACCGGAAAAAGAGCGTCTCCTTCCGGGCTTCGCTGTGGTCCCGCAGGGCTCTGGGCTGCGGAGGATCGGAGCCGGCTCCGTGTGGAGCTGAGGCTCCGCCTGGGCGCGGGCGCGGCGGCCATGGCGACGCCGGCGCTCGAGCGCTGGGTCCAGGAGGAGCTGCACTCGGTGCTGGGGCTGAGCGAGCGGCACGTGGCCCAGTTCCTCATCGGAACCGCGCAGCGCTGCGCCTCGGCCGAGGAGTTCGTGCAGCGCCTGCGGGACACCGACACGCTGGACCTGGACGGGCCGGCGCGGGACTTCGCTCTGCGGCTGTGGAGCAAGGTGCCGGGCGCCGGGCGCGTGAGGACGGGAGGCCCAGCGTCCCGGGCCTTACCCAGGACCCGTGTTACCTGCATGTTCCGATTGGGTAGCGATGTTACTGTGCTTCTGCCTTCGCGCTGAATTACTTCCTAGCCCTTTGTTTACTTTTTGTGCTGAAGTTGGGTCTCTCGCTAAATTACCCAGGCTGGGCTTGACTTTGCGATCATGAAGCCTCAGCCTCCCAGACTAATGAGATTACAGGCATGTGCCACCTCACTTAGCACCCCCCCCCCCCATTTTTTGAGACAGGGTCTCGCTGTGCAGTTCAGGCTGGCCTTGAACTCACTGTGTAGCCCAGGCTCGCCTTGAACTTGTGGTGATCCTCCTGCCTCAGCCTCCTGAGTGCTGGGATTACCAGCATAGGCCACCACACCTGGCATTGTGGCTGCATTTTTTTTTTTTTTTTTTTTGGTACCAGGGATTGAACTCAGGACCTTGCGCTTTCGTGGCATGCGCCGGAACCACGGAGCTAAATCCCCGGCCCTGGGGCTGCATTTTTAACAAGTTTCCAAGTGATATTGATGGTCCGAGGACCAAATTTTGCATAGCCAGGCTGTAAGAGATGTATGTGTGAAGCACGGCAGAGGCCAGTGGTGTGATCGGGCCAAGCAGGCCCAAGAGTCTCTGGGATTTGTTAGGTTGGGAGTGGGGAAGGGGGTCAAAGTACAAAAGGTGAGCTCCTGGTGGACAGGACTGCCTCTCCTCCCTTGTCTCCCACCTACCCAGCATGGCCTGCCTTACAGAACAGGTGCTTGGGAGTGGACAGCAAGTGGGCAAGCGTTCGGAGAACGCACATGGCCTGGCCCAGACGGCCCATGCGGTGCCTGATGAGAGATGAAGTAGCCTGTGTGCCTGGGCTGGGACACAGTTCAGTGGGAGAGCACTTGCCTGACATGCTCTTGGCTCTGGGTTAGAAAACCAAAAAAGTGCCGTGAGGGGTAAGGATGTGAGTATCTGTTCATCAGTCCACTGTTGGGTTCTAGTGTCATTTGACGTGCATGGTCATATTGCAGAATAGCCCTAGGTGCACATCCGGAACCCCAGCTACTTAGATGAGATAAGGCGTGTTCAGGGTGGTATGGCCGTAGACAACCCCAGCTACTCAGGAGGCTGAAGCAGAAGGATCACTAATTTGAGACCAGCATGGTCCACTTAGTGAGATTGTGTCTCAAAATAAAATAAGGCCTGAGAATGCATCGCAGCGGTAGAGCACTGCCTAGCTTTTGTGAGGCCCTGAGTCCAATCCCTAGTGTCGCCAAAAAGTTCATTTTGCAAGATAATCCTTGTAGCATGTCTTTCTTTGGATAGGGATGACTTAATCATGGGGAAGAGCAGAGCTCTGAGAAAGGCTGAACAAGTGATAATTGAATTTAAGAATGTGAACTCTGAAGGCAGGGATTATTATTCATTTACTTACTGGTACTGGGGATTGAACCTGGGGTGCTCTCCCATTGAGCTGAATCCTTCACTACGTTGCCCAGGCTAGGCTCAAACTTATAAACCTGTTGGTTCAGCCTCCCTGTAACTGGGCTTACAGCTGTGCACCATCCCACCCAGCCAAAGGCAGGGATTTCTGTGTCTTCTTTGTTCCTGTATCCGTGGTACCTGGTAAGTACTTGGCACGCAGGCCAGGCTCCCACAGACGTTTGTTAAATGAATGAGTTCAGCAGCTGCTGACCCTGCTTCAGACTGCTTACCTGTGTGCGGCCAAGCTGGTTGACATGGAGAAGTCCTGGGCAGGGGCTGGAGCTCCATGCTTACCTCGCTTGCCCAAGGCCCTGGGTTCAATCTCAGTGTCATGAGAAAAAAATAAATCAACTAGTTCCTTAATTTGGGGGCAGAGCTAGGTGGGGGGCAGAGGTCACAGCCACAGTCTCCCCTCTACTTCTAGGTACCTCGGAAGGCGGCAGCGGAAAAGCCAGCGCGGGCAGCAGAGCGGGAGGCCCGGGCCCTGTTGGAGAAGAGCCGGTCGTACCAGCTGCTGGAAGACAGTGAGGCCAGCGGTGAGGAGACAGTGGGGAGCGCGGGGAGCAGCCTGCAGAAGAAGAGGAAGAGGCGGAAGCACCTCAGGAAGAAACGGCAGGAGGAGGAGGAGGAGGAGGAAGGGGTTTCTGAGAGCTGGAAGAAGACAGCGTAAGTTGGAAGCGGGGCTCAGGGCTGGGGCCGGGACAGTGGGCAGAGAGCCTTGGGGCTGGGCCTGTGTAAGCGCCTGGGCTCGGCTGCAGGGGGAGCAGGCAGCAGGCAGAGAAGACAGCGGAGTCGGAGGATGAGTGGGAGCGGACCGAGCGGGAGCGGCTGCAGGACCTGGAGGAGCGAGACGCCTTTGCCGAGCGGGTCCGGCAGAGGGACAAGGACCGGACTCGCAACGTCCTGGAGCGGTCAGATAAGAAGGTGTGGGGGGCAGAGCTCCTGGGTGAGTCTGGGGCTGGCTCTGATGGCGGCCACCGTGGCCTTGGGGAAGAGGGATGTCTCCCGCTCCTCCCTGTGGCAGGAGGACCCCGTGGGTTTGGGGCTGAGGGGATGTTTCCTTGGGCCTGCTCAGAGGGAACTGCGAAGGGACCTCGTGACTAAAGGGAATCGGCTTCATCCCTGCTGGTTTCCTCTCCTAGGCTTATGAAGAGGCTCAGAAGCGTCTGAAGATGGCCGAGGAGGACCGGAAAGCCATGGTGAGTTCCAGGGTCCAGGGAGCCAAGAGCAGAAGCTAGAAGGAAAGGCCTCACGCTGTGGTGCTGAGCTCTGGGGCGCGGGGCTGCACAGGAAGCGTGCGTGCAGTGTGCTGGTGCGGGGCTGCGGCTCTGAGGAGGGGCTTGGCTGACAGGAGGTGGCTGAGGGTGGGCAGGCAGCACACTCTGGGACCAAACCGCACTGGGTGTCAGGCAGCTGAAGGCCAGCTTCCCTGTCCTGAGACTTCGCAGGCGGGATGTTGTTGGGGTAGTGGGAGGGCAGGCAAGGCCACTGTCCGGAGACGCCTGTCCAGCTTAGGCACGCCGTCTGTCTCTGGCCACCTCAGCCCCTTGACCTCCCTGTGGGCTCCTGAGTTGGCCTCCTAACTGGGCAGCGATCGTGGCCTGCTAATTCATGAGCTGGGCTGTTCATGGTGTGAGTCTAGGTGCTGCGGACAGTTGTCCAGACGAGCCAAGTCCACTGCAATTCCCCCGAAGAAGCTTGGGACTCTGGAGGCTCTGAGGGTGGCCCAGTGGCCCAGAGCCCCCTCATCAGTTCATTTCCTGCCCCACCCTGCAGACGACTGTTGGGAGTCTGCTGAGGCACCCTTCGGGACATCCCAGTGTTTTATTTGAATGCAGTCAGGGCTCGCACAGTGGCCTTCGGTCGTTAGGCTGCTTGAGTTTGTTTTGTGTATTCTGCCTCTCGTCTTGTACAGTCCTGCATTCTGGACCTGCCTGATCCTTACCTTGTGGTGTTAATTCTTCTAACCCCTGTGTTTCCTTTGAAGTGGAATCTGGGTCTAAAGCTTTTCAAGGTTCAGATCAGAAGTGTCTTCTGCCTTCCCTCTGGGGGAGATTTTATTAGGGAAGAGCATCTGGGCAGTCGAGGGTTGGTTTTCCTTCAGATCTGGTGTCTGCCTGCTCGGCCCCACGTTTGTTTTTTTTTAATTCCTTCTCCATACCAGGGGTCGAACTCAGGACCTTGTGCTTGCAAGGCAGGCGGCAGCACCACTGAGCTCAATCCCCGGCCTTCAAGGTTCAGATTAAACAGTGCGGCGGGGTCACCTCTGGAGCAGTGGTGGGCACCTTACTTTGCACCACCTGGGGAACAGAGGCAGTTGTGCACCTGCTGGAACACCTGTGCTATCGACTCACAGCCTTTAGCTAACATCGTTAGCAACCACTGCTTAACTTTCCAGTCTTTTCTGTGTGTGTGTCACTGGGGATTAGACTGAGGGTCTTTGCACTGAGCTACATCCCCAGCACCCCCTTTAATTTTTGGGATAGGGTCTCTAAGTTGCCTAGGCAAGGCAAGGCTGAACTTGTAATCCTCCCTCAGCCTCTCAAGTGCTGAGAGACAGCCATGTGCCACTATGCCAGACTTTTGCTCATATTTCTTTAAATCATCTGTTGGGCATGGTGGCACACGCCTGTGATCCCAGCACTTGGGAGGCTCAGGCAGGAGGGTCCCAAGTTCGAGCCCAACCTGGGCAATTTAGTGACTTAGTGAAACTAGGTCTCAAGATTGGAAAGGGCCGGGGGTGTGGCTGAGTGCGAAGGCCCTGGGTTCAATTCCAAGTGCTGCCCAAAACACTCATCAGCCTTTTTGCTTCCTCCCTTTCCACTAATTGGGAAAAAAATAGTAAGAGCACAGTATCCATACAGTTGCCCTGCAGGAGGATCAGCATGAGTTCAAGGCCAGCCTGAACTACAGAACGAGACCCTGACTCAACAAAATCAATGGGCTGGGGACTTAGCTCAGTGGTTCCGCCGCCTGCCTCGCAAGCTAAGGACCCGAGTTCGATCCCTGGTACCAAAAAAAACAAAATCAAAAGCAAAATAATGAAATGGTCGCCCTAGTGGATCGGCACCAACAGGGTGCCACTGCCCAGGGGCATCCAGCCGGATTTTGCAGTGAGGGCAGTGCCTGTCCGAGGCGGCCACCCAGAGGGCCCCGTGGGCCCAGTGTTGGGGCACACTGGGACG